CTCCGGCCTTCTTCAGGTGGTTGGAATTTCGAACTGACTCCTTTATTTCGATCACTGGGGTAGACTGTTCTAGTTCCACGTGTCATGTTTGATGGATGTCAGTTATCAGTTATCTCCTGCTAATTTTCCCTCTGAAAGTTCTCCACTGCCTTAACCAGGAATTGAACTCACCTTCTTTGGGTCTGTCACTGGATCTAACCAACGCCTTTATCCACTGTGCCATGTGTCCTTGAGGACATCTGGGTATGATTTGGTTAAATCCAGTGACAATTTCAGTTCAAAATTCCAACCACCTGAAGAAGGCCGGAGCGTACAACGGCCGAAACGTTGTGACAAATATGGCGACAAAGATGAGGACAATAGTCCGACTAATGTAAATACTGTAAATATTTTGATATTTTTCTCCTCATAAATTTTAAAAAGATCTTTTGTGAGTGTTGAAAATTTTGGCGACAAAATTTCATCCAAACAACTCAAGTGCAAACTTTGATTGGGACTCAAGTTCTTTTTTGACCTTGAGTGAAATGCATATATACAGCATACGTATACTAAAAATGCTGGAGAAAATTGTCTAATGATTTTACTATAAAAATACATTTAAAATCAGAAAGTAAGGGATTGTCAGTGGTCAGGAATGAATGCAAGCATTACTGATAATCATTTCATTAAGTTAATAAACCATTTTCTTCTCATCACTCAAATTTTGTTGACTTCTCTTGCAAGATTTCTATACCCCACCCCTGAACTTAAACGAAAGATGTCTTTCTTATAATTGTCTATCATATCTTGGATTTTCTTTCCAAATAAATAAATACATTATTTATAACAATTTAAAATTTATTTCTGTTAAGGGATACAATACAATGTGATAGACTGGATATAAAGTTGAAGATATTCCAAAACAGATTGATACTTAAGTTGAAATTCAGGGACAAGAAACAAAATTCTAGTAAGAATAATTTTAAAAACTATCCAAACTCTGAGTAATGAAGATGTTAAAATATGTTTACCCTCCTCTCTACTGAACAGACAAAAGCTAATTGTTTCGTTGTTTTGTTGCCTAATTTTTCTAAGTTTCTCTTGTGACACTGTGATTAGTCATCTAGATAAAATACCCTCCCTGCTTTGACACAGCAAGTTGTTGTTGTGGGTGGAAAGAGTCTGTGTGAAGGAAAATTGTTGAATGAACATTCAAAAACCTGCTTTACAAATCCAATGGAACATTTCCTGTTAGTTGAAGACTAACAGATCAATAGTTCTGGAGTCACTGCTAGTATCCTACAGTCTAGTCACATGTATCACAAACCTAGTTTGTATCGTAGGTCACAGAAGTCGATAGACCAAAAGTTCAGTGAGGGGGGGTGCAAAATTGCTTGTTCACTGGCAATAACGGTCAATTGTAAGCAGGGAAAAGAAGTGACATCAACTGATATCTTTGAATAATCACTTTCTCTCAGTGTATTGTGTGTGTACAATTGATGTGTTTTAAATCAATAAATATATATATATATATATATATATATATATATATATATACTGGACTCTCTTGTCATATTGACGTATGAGGGTCAAGCAGCTCAGTTCCTAGGAACCGACAGCCAGACACTAGCACATATGATTTGATTATAGTGGTGAAGGCTTTGTGCAGAACTAATCACACTTTTCGAAGAGCCGAATACAGAGAACTAGTACACTGCATGCCACAAAGTCCCCAAACAACCCTCTGCAGGTTTTGAATTCAGAGTTGTCCTTCTCCTAGATCAGTTACCATCCAAGGCTATAGAATCCAAGCTGTCCTGCTATTTACCCAGAGCTGGAGGGAGAAGAGGATTAATGCCTTTCCCAAGGGTATTATCTCTCCAATTCCTCAATCCAAGCCACTATTCACTACTCTACTGTGCCTCATATATATATATATATATATATATATATATATATATATATAGGAGGCATGGTGGAGTAATGGATAGCTGTTGTCTGGATTGTCGGTTCCAAGGAACTGAGCTGGTTGACCCTCATACGTGGAATACAACGAGAGAGTCCACTATATATATATATATATATATATATATATATATATATATATATATAATGTAAATGGTATGAGCTTAAATATTAGTGTCTGTATGTATATAAAGATTTATGATGTACTAATTGAAAATCAGCCTCAGTAAACTTACTAATCATAACTCTACAGATGACATTACCCTAGATATATCAAAGGGTGTGGGATTGGCAGCTGCTAAATAAACTCTTCAACTACAGAATCTCTGGAAGTGTTTTTTTCTTCAAGTATCAAGTGACTTCCCCTGCTATACTCTCTTGTAAGAGCCATACACAATCACACACACACACACACACACACATATATTTGTGTGTGTGTGTGTGAATAATACCATAGTTTCTGGGTGCACATCTCAAAATCAAGATAACCAGAACCTGGCAGATGACCTCTGACCCTGACCCACACCCACACATAAAATTGTGGCAAACTGGCTTGTATCATTCAGTCCTTCCAAAAACCAAGCTAGTTAACAAAGTTTTATTACGATCAAGCAGACCCCACATTTGCTCAAGTCCTGACAAATGACTTTAATCTGAATAAGACTCCTTGCTTCAAACGTCTGTTGGGACTCAAGTTCTCTCCAAGCCTCAAGTGGAACTCAGACATACAATCACTAAAGATGTTGGGAAAATGATTGGGTCCTTGTACTGTTCCCAAAAATACCTGACTCCTCTCACAATGCACTCTGTCTTTACAAGAGTCTGATCAGGCCAAAAGTATTGCTGCCATATCTGGACTCTGATCCACTTTCCAGTCTTGACACAGACTTGTGGGTGATGAATAATTGTTTCTTTACTTTTTATACCCTCACTCCCTAATGCCATATGTGATGTAGTGAATGTTGCATTCTGTGTATGTACACACACATAATATAAGTAAAAAAGTACAAGAGTGTGGTGAAAAACTCTAAACTAAACCAAGGATTAACAAAACAAAAAAAGATTGATGTTGGCTCATTTTGTCAGATTTTTTAAAATGATCACACTGTGAACTTTTCAGCATCCTGCCTATATAACATTGTCAGATTGGACCACTTTTGATATACCTTCTTCTTTTCTGTGCCATGTTCTTTCAGGACATGGATGATCATGGCTCTCCACAACTTCATATCCTTTGTAACTCTTAGCAATATTTGTCTTTTTACCATCACTCCAAATCCCCTTTATGTCATCTATTCATATAAGCTCATCAGGTAGGTGTTCTATTGACACCTTCTGTCCCTTTTGCGTTCAATATGCCCTTTGAGTGTTGAATTTTCCAAGCCCCCTTTTTTATTTTTTTTGAGTCCTAGAAATTTTAACTTTATCTTTTTGATTTTAAATATAACAAATATTATTTTTGTTTACATTTTGTTGCTTACAATCTCTGTAGATGGTATCCTCAGCATCCTTCTGTAGAACCACATTTCTGTTGCCTCAAGTCTCTTCTTTATCTGTGAAAAAAATTGTCCAGTATTCATGGTCATGTAGGTGGATTGTTATTATACAGCAGTTCAGTGCTTTTTTTTGTTTTTCCAAACAAATTTTTTCCTGTTTCTTAATACTTTTCTTAGTTTTTGGAATGCATCTTTTGCTATTTAATGCACCTTTAGATTTGTGTGTCACATTTTCTATCATCAGTTGAAACACTTCTCAGATATACAAATGCCAGCACTAAAAAAAAAAAAATTATTTTCACCAATTACAACTTTTTGGGAAACTTTTAAAAGGTTGATTGGAAATAAGCAAAAAAACAAAAATAAATAAAAGCACCAAGTTTGACATTTCAATGAAAATATTGGGATGAAAGCACAGATGTAGAATACAGATAAGATGGCAGAAATACAACATTATTTATAACTAAATCAATTTTCCCAATAAAATCTGGCTGAATCAGACATTTTTTTAAAAAATCATTTCAACCCTAACAAAGCAATAAAGCCACTAAGATGCAAGGTGTTACTTAGTATGAGAAAAACTTATTAAGGAGGGAGCAATAAAAGAACAGGAATTAAAAAGACAAGATAATGATAGACATTGCATTTAAGTTTTTGAAGATCAAAGTTAACTGGGAAGCAAGAAGCCAGAATAGAGTTCCACAAGCGAGAAGTGCAATAGAAGAAACTGTTAGTATAGAACTTATGGGTGCATTTCTTGCCATTTCAACTGCAATATAGACTGCCACCAATCTAATACTGCACTTAAATTCATCAGAACATATATTCTAAATATTAAATGAATAATCTCGAAGTAAAAATTGTTAAAACTCTTTTATAATTAAAATTGATAATTAATAATCTTCTGGCTTCTTTGTTAACTATGATCATCAAAAATTTAAATGCAATATCAATTGTCATCTTTTGTTTCCTTGAATCCTGTTCTTTTATTGTCCTCAATGTTTTTTTTTTCAGATTCTTTCCCCCACCTCGGTAAGCTCTTGTGTCTTAGTGGCTTTATCACCTTGCTTGAGGTAAAATGTTTAAAAAAGAAAATCAAGAATATACAAGTATACATGGAATTGATATAAAATATAGATTTTAAAACATTATTATGCATACCTTATAAGTGAACTTAACTCCCAATAAAAATTGTATTTTTAAGCTACATCATTTTTGATCCTTATAACACAACTGACAAAAGATACAGACTTAATGAATTATTTTTCATTTATTTATATTCTGCAATATTGCCGGTCCATGATTTTTAAAAGAAGTTGGCCTAACTTGTATTGATTATCAACCTTTGTTATTTAAAGCCAGAAAGAATTTTAGAGAGATAATGATTTACTGATATAAGTCCTACTAATTAACCCATAGTTGGGGGATAAGAGGTGGATTCAAATCTTTCCCATGAGTATCTGCATGTAAGAGAATATAACAAACTTTACTGGAATTAGAATTAGGCTCTCCAATTTCCAATTCCAAGTCATTATCCATTACACCACCTTCACATCCAAG